AGTGAAGGGTGGGGTATAAATCCAATCTCCTCCTCCCCCTCCTCCTCCTCCTCCTCTTCTTCTTCTGTTTTGCACGCAGAAGGTCCCAGGTTCAATCCCCAGCATCTCCAATTGAAAGAATCAGGCAGTAGGTGTTGTGAAAGACCTCAGCCTAAAACCCTGAAGAGCCCCTGCTGGTCTGAGTCGATAATATTGACCTTGATGGGCCAAGTCTAAGGCAGCTTCATGTATTAATGTGTTCAGTGCTGATCCCTGGATTGCCTTTGGGGTGGCCTCCTGTTGGGAGTTTCTTATTCCTCTTCTGTGTCTCAGAAGTACTCTGTTCACTTTCCTCGTACGATTTGCCTTCCCAGGTTGATTTCGGAACATGCTGGGCAAGAGAGGGCGCCTTCTTCCTGTAGACTGGTGCTTCCCATTCACGGCAGTTTCCCCTACTGCATATTTTAAATTGTGGAAGAAGTTTCCTTCCATTGTTTTCCACTTATATAGCTGGTTCACACCTCTCCTGAATGGGTTGTATTGAAGCTCTGAACATTTATCATTACCAGAAGTGCTGGAAATAATCAGTGACTCTTAGCGGGGGTCGGTCCAAATAAAATAAGGATTTCAGGTTTCCGGAGATGACCTTCCCTCCGGGCTCAGGGAGAAGAGAAGAAGAGAAGAGATTGGATTTATACCCCACCCTTCACTACCCAAAGGTGTCTCTGAGTGGCTTACAAACTCCTTTCCCTTCCCCTCCCCACAACAGGCACCCTGTGAGGTAGGCGAGGCTGAGAAAGCTCTTGACAGAAACTGCTCTTTTTCAAGGACATCTCTTATCAGAACTACGGCTTGCCCAAGGTCATCCAGCCAGGTGCAAGTGGAGGAGTGGGGAAATCAAACCCGGTTCTCCCAGATTAGAGTCCGCGCACTTAGCCACTACACTAAAGAAGAAGAAGAAGAAGAGATTGGATTTATACCGCGGGAGTCTCAGAGCGGCTTACAAACTCCTTTCCCTTCCCCTCCCCACAACAGACACCCTGTGAGGGGGGTGGGGCTGAGAGATCTCTGACACAAACTGCTCTTTCAAGAACAGCTGTGCCAGAGCTTGTGACTGACCCAAGGTCATATCAGCAGGTGCAAGTGGAGGAGTGGGGGAATCAAACCCGGTTCTCCCAGATTAGAGTCCGCGCACTTAACCGCGACACCAAACTAGAGGGGAGAACAGGAAGAGCCATTTGTTTAGGGCTCTGATAAAGGAGAGCAATTGGTGGGAAGCTACCATCATTGCCGTACATCGTTTTTGTATCTCAGGCAATGTTCTCCTGGTAAGATTCATCATGTGAATTGGCCACTGAACCCTGTAACTCTGCATTGACCTCCCAAACGTTCAGGCAGAAAAGGGTCTTCTTCGGCCCTATAAGTTGAAATCCTTAAACAGGATATGAGGATTAATCTGGGCCTGGAAACCTCCATCAGGGCTTGGTTTAGGACAGAGGTGGCCAAACTTGCTCAGTGTAAGAGCCACATAGAATAAATGTCAGATGTCTGAGAGCCGCAAAACAGGGGCAGATATTACAAATGTGTTTTTATTGGAAAATATGCAAATTTGCTTGTTATTAATATTAAATGAGACTGCCAAAACTAAAAACAAAGGGGGTAAAAACAGATATTGATAATTATATTTATTTGTCCAATGATATTTATTTGAATTAAATAATTCGAATTAGATAAACATATGGAACAGAAGTCCATCAGTGGCTATTAGCCACAAGGTATAGATAGGGACACTGGGGCAAGTGATGCTCTGTATTTTTGGTGCTGGGGGGG